CAACTTTTGCATTTTCAACTTTTGCATTTTCAACTTTTACATTTTCAACTTTTACATTTTGAACTTTTACATTTTGAACTTTTGCATTTTCAACTTTTGCATTTTCAACTTTTACATTTTCAACTTTCGCATTTTCAACTTTTACATTTTGAACTTTTACATTTTGAACTTTTACATTTTGAACTTTTGCATTTTCAACTTTTACATTTTCAACTTTTGCATTTTCAACTTTTGCATTTTCAACTTTTGCATTTTCAACTTTTACATTTTCAACTTTTACATTTTCAACTTTTACATTTTCAACTTTTACATTTTCAACTTTTACATTTTCAACTTTTACATTTTCAACTTTTACATTTTCAACTTTTACATTTTCAACTTTTATATTTTCAACTTTTACATTTTCAACTTTTACATTTTCAACTTTTGCATTTTCAACTTCCATATTTTCAACTTCCATATTTTCAACTTTTGTATTTTCAACTTTTATATTTCCACATTGATCAGTAGTATACACTGTTTATAGTATACGCTGACCGGAGTGGGCTCTGTTTCAGGTTTTTACATATAGAAATGGGGGCCCCAGCCCCCATATTAGTCCCCCAGTTACTTATTTTGCCCTCACAAGTGAAAATCACTTTTTAAAAAGATATTGACAGAAAATGAAGAATAATTTAGTTGAAGATAATGTCATATTAGCAGTTTTCTCATTATTCTGTAACCCAATCTTATTGAATGTAATTCCACTAATATTATTTGTCGAGCACGAAAACGGCTGAACCTGGCAACTATAACTTCATCGTCTTGATGAATTTCCTAAATTTCTGGTTTTGAATAAGACTATTTGAAGAATCAAAAAACTATTTAAAAGTCTTATATGCGGTTTTTTGTACGTTTCCCGATTATGCAAGTCATTTTTATTGTAATTGAGTACAAAATATCTCATTTTTTTGCTGCAATACAATTTAATAGAGGATAATCATTGATAACCCATTTTCTCGGCAATGGGCAAGTACTTCCCACTTGGGTGCCACGAAGCGAAATAATTTTGGTCAACAGTCCACGGTCTATTTGTTCGCGTCGCTTGAAGATTGCTCAGAAAAATCTCCCTATCAAAATTGCAATATTGTGGGAGAATATTGCAATGTTGCTCGCAAGAGAACATCCGGTTTGACTGTAATACAGTAGACACAACAGTCTCATCGTGATCGTTGCAGGCATTAACTGCACTACGATATAATTGAACAAGTTAATTAACATGTAAACAAATAACTTTGAAAGAATTGAGGAGCGTGATTGAGGGATAGAACGAGGAAAATATGTAGTTTATAACCAAGTCGACTTTTAATAAAGTCGCTGTAGTATACTGTCTAAATAATGTACAACCGGTGCCAATATAAACTATAACAATGGAGGAATTTCTTAAAAAATATTGTATTAAAATTACAACAGTACAATGTGAAAACATGAAAATATGAAAATACAAAAATATGAAAATACAGAAACATGAAAATACGAAAATGGGAAAACATGCATGCAAATATGAAAATGCAGAAACATGGAAATGCAAAAATTGAAAATGCAGTATTCATAATTATTCTACAAATTTGTTTTTAGGTATTTCGCGTTTCGTTGTATAATCTATGATTCAAATTAAATAATATAAGACTCCTTTTAAGATCCTTGTAAAATCTGCTATAATTGAGTCATTTAGCGTCGTTTCAGTCGTTAGCAATTTGACGTTTGCCGTAAACGTCAATCTTATGCCTGGTTCACACTGGTCGCAAGAATCGGGGAATTCCATTGTCTGTAGTCATTGGTGCGTAAAATGCTTTGTTGTCGGGAAAGAATACAATAGATCGCCGATGAATTACGACCAGTTTGAACCAGGCTTTAAGATCTCTATTACATACATACGACCGCATTGAAATTTGATTTTCAAAGCAAATGTTTCTGGTTTAACCACTGATAAATTTTCATATGGTAGAACAACGTTGTTTGATCACTTCGTAACAGAATACATATATGGAATCTTTGTTGAATATCTTAGAATATTCAGCAGCAGATGTTGTTTTGTGAGAAACCATCGTGTGTAAAATTACCGTAATTTACTTAATTGGAAACTTTGGCGCTTGCATTCCTGCACGCACATAATAGAGATGTCGAATTTCTGCACGTACATAATATTGCATTCCTGCACGTACATAATATTGCATTCGTGCACGCACATAATAGAGATGTCGAATTAAATTTCTCAAAACTGAATTGCTAAACTGGTACATGCAATTGCTCTAAAAGTATGGCCGGTTATTGTATATTGCACGGCAAAAGCTAGAATCAAACCTTGCAGACGCCTCAAAATGTTTCCTCTCGAGAATGTTTTGATTCTAGGAACAAAGAATATTTACTATAACTAATTATTTAAAATAGGATATATCGCCCATGCAGAGAGGAATTTTGATATTTGGCAAAACAATAAAATTTTGTGTACATGCTTCTTAAATTTACCTGCTGTATAGAGAACGTTGTAAGAATACGAAGGCAGAACTTTAATGCATTTGTTCGTGCGCGCTAAACTTAAATATATAAAAAAATCATATAGCGCTAAACTTGAGGGAATTGACGCTTCCACTAAACACCTTAACAATCACGACACTACAGGGGTCAACATACAAATGATTTGAAGCATGCTTGAAAACAACTACTTTGAATTCAACGACAAATACTACCTATACAAACACACGGGACTGCAATGGGAACAACCATGGCAGTTTCATACGCCAACTTATTTATGGCTGTACTGCAGGAAGAAATCCTTAAGAATGCACCAGAAGGTTTGACTCCTCTTGAGTGGATCAGATGTCTGGATGACATTTTTGCTCTATGGTGCCATGGTGAAGCATCCTTAATTAGATTTCTTCAATAGGCTACATGAACAAACTACACACGACCATCAAATTCGATATGAATACTCTACTATGACTGTACATTTTTTGGACACAAGAATTTATGTCAATGAACAAAACAAACTAGAATCAGACGTATACATCAACCCAACACTCATGACAAGACAATGTTACTACATAACACCTCTCTTAACCCGAACACATGTAAACAAGGCGTAATCTACAACCAGGCGCTAGGCTACAGACGAATCTTCACAGATGACAACATACTACGGAACCAACTAAAAAACTCAAAATTATTCTAATGACTAGAGGGTACAAAACTAACACAATTGACAATGCCTTTGGCAAGGCTACACAGAACACACAAAAACAGCTACTGTACAACAACAAAGCAAACAAAGCTGAAACTCGACCAACGTTTAGTGTTCCTTTCAATACTAATACAGCACATATTGGCCAAATCTTAAAGAAACACTGGCACCTATTAGAAAGTGACCCAACGTTAAAAATATCATGGCTAAATATACCTGTGGCCATGGTCGCATACAAGCGACTGTGCAAATCTAATTTGCAATATCGCGGTATGGTCAAATCCGATCGACCCTGTGATAAATGTGCATCATCAAATCACACCTATATCTTAAGATCTTAAGATTAATCTTAAATCTCAATTATTGATACATATGACCGCATTGAAATTTGATTTTCAAAGAAAATGTTCCTGGTTTAACCACTGATCAATTTTCACATGGTAGAACAACGTTGTTTGATCACTTCGTAACAGGATACATATCTGGAGTCTTTGTTGAATATCTTAGAATATGCAGCAGCAGAATTTTTGCATATCTTGTTTTGTGAGAAACCATCGTGTGTAAAATTATTGTAATTTACCCATACCGGC